AAAAAAAATCACCTTTTCCTTTGCGGATTGTTACCTTCTTTCAAGGGATAGATGGGATAGATATTACGCTTTCTTAGGGCAAAATTTCTCGTTTATAAAGTCTATTGACTCTAAAGAAGGAGTTGATAATGTGCTTTATAATAGTCCAAGTGAGAGAGTTACCATTCTTTCCCTTGTAGGATGTCACCTGCTCTTCGTGAGTTGCTACCTTTCCCTTGTGGATTGTTACCTTCTTTCAAGGGATAAATATTACGCTTTCTTAGGCAAAATTTCTCGTTTAAAAAGTCTATTGACTCTAAAGAAGGAGTTGATAATGTGCTTTATAATAGTCCAAGTGAGAGTGTTACCTTGTAGGATGTCACCTACTCTTCGTGAGTTGCTACCTTTCCCTTGTGGATTGTTACCTTCTTTCAAGGGATAGATGGGATAAATATTACGCTTTCTTAGGGGAAAATTTTTTGTTTATAAATTCTATTGACTCTAAAGGAGGAGTTGATTATGTACGTTATAATAGTCCAAGTGAGAGTGTTACCATTCTTTCCTTTGTAGGATGTTACCTGCTCTTTGTGAGTTGCTACCTTTCCCTTGTGGATTGTTACCTTCTTTCAAGGGATAGATATTACGCTTTCTTGGGGCAAAATTTCTTGTTTATAAAGTCTTTTTTTTTGCTTTCTTGATATGAAATTCCTATTGAGATAAGCAGATTTTTGTGCTATTTTTTTTTTTTCTCTTTAGATTTTTTTTTTCGCAAACTGAATCACGCATCACTTAATTTTATTGTTTTTAGAAAAAAAGCAAAAAACGTTGCAATTGATGTGGATGACCTGATTTCGCAGTGGTGCAATTCAAGGACTAAGTCAAGAAAATCAAACGTGGACAACTTTCTTATGGATATGAGAGATCATGCGGAGGTATATTCTTATGATTTTTTTGATTACTGTATTTGGTTTGGTTTTAATGTATAGATAAAATTTTCTTTATGCTAGTTTCCTAACGCTGAAGATTTTTGGCTACATCATTGGTAAAAGATCTATACACCTAAAATTTTGATGCTTGTGCATTTGCCTGAATAATTTACAAATTATGGTACACTATTTATAGGGTTTATCGGGGAATCTTCGCGAAGTATCCGTATATTTCAGTGATAAGAGGATTATGCGTATCACCAAAAAATGCCTGACCCGTGGACTATGACTATATTCTCTGACTTAAATACGACATCGCCAGAAAGAATGTTTCATTTAAAATTTGTTGACATACGGAATGTGCAATTCGAGCAGTATTTTCTGAAGATAAAAACAAAAAAATATCTGGAATATTTAAAATTTTGTTGCCATTTCCTGAACAAGGTAGAATTTTTATCGGATTTCCTACACATCAGACGAATGGGTGTAGTTCTTACATGGCGGCTCGCTTAATTCCAACAGTATGTATTCGTTATTGAGTAAATTTTGACGTATATCCTATTATGCCAAAGTTGTATCTATTCTAAATTATATTTTTAATCTTGATAGGTTGAGTGTGAGTCTATTGACTTGATCGATAAAACTCTTGCCGTTTATAACAACAAATGTTATGTCTTCTGTCAAGAATTTTGTACGAAGATGAAATGAGTCAATTATATAAAGTTTATAGAGAAATTGTTGGTTCAAACGCAAAAACAGATGAAGCTACAAATTCGGCGATGAGTGGCTTGAAAAATGAGCTGCGTATGCATTTTCGCAACTTTACATTTAAACATAGCACTCCTAATTCGCATGTTGGCCAAATTATTGAATTTCAAATTTTAAATTATGCTTCTCAGCCATTATCTATTATATCAATTCCTGAAGTCCAACCGCAGGTTGGTTCTAATCCGAGTCAGAATAATTATCCTGTAAAGCTTACACCAAGAACGAAGAATATGCAATTCAGTTGCAGGAAATGTTTCAACTGTGATCCAAATTATATTCGTCCAATGTTTAGCTCAAGAAAAAGCGACCATTTACAGAGTTGCTAACAAATTATTACCTCGGTGAAAGATATTATTGCGCCACAAGATCGTTGTGCCCAAGGAAACAGCATCGGTCCTACCTGTACAAGGCACTTCTGCACCTTTTGCTATTTATAGCGACATTCGAAATGGATACATTAATATTGTTGACTTCACCCCTATTCATTTCTTCATAAGATCTCGAATTGTCTATAATGGCAATTGTGAAGTTACTATAATGGCCAAGTTTCAAGTTATTGATGTATGGTGTGATCAGCTTTAAATTTCCCTAAAATATTACAAAAAATGCTATTTCTCTAAAAATTTATAAAATACAAAAATAATTTACAAGATTTGTTTAACAAAACTTGTGGTTTAGATTTAAATTTAAAGCAAAGCTAATAGTGTAGTAACTTTTTAAACATTAAAATTATAAAATGTGAACGTTTATGTTTTTAATTTTAACCAATAAGAGTGTTCTTTCTGATTACGTGACCAATTTTGCAGTTAAACTTTTTTATAATTACATTTTTTGGGATAAATATTTGCTTATAAAATAATTTTTACTAAGA